TTTTTTTTTTTTTGAAAGAACACTGATGAACTTTTTGTGTTTTGTTTTTCTGTTAATCTTAATCTAGCCTGCAATTATGCTAAAGGAAAATGGGTTTTAGACCATAACCAGTCTTTATATTCTGGTTTCGGCTGTAAGCAATGGCTCTCATGGATGTGGGCTTGCCGATTGACGCGTCGTACAGATTTTGCCTATGAGAAGCTCCGGTGGCAACCAAAAGATTGTGAACTGGAAAATTTTGAAGGTTCCAAGTTCTTGAAAAGGTATTTTGAACGTTTTAAGGAAGTTATAATAACGGTAGAGTTTCATATATTTGATGGAAGTCAAAATCAATGAATTCAGCCTATTTCCTCCATAATTATTGTTATTGGTGTTGTTGTTATTATTATTATTATTCGTTTGTCTGCCCTAGCCTCACGGAATTATCTTTGGTCCTTGATTACCTTTTGTGCAATGCTCAAATTATTACTCAATTAGTCTCAATTAAGTTCTGTGGTATCTTCCGTTTAAACTCTCTTTAACCAGTGGGAGGGACACAGGGTTTTGTCACCCGAAAAGACTTGGGGATGTGGTTTCAGTGATAACACTTTTGTTGTTTTTATGCATGTCTTTATGGTCCATCTGTTCTACCTTTAAGAGAACATACACTTTTTGTTCGATGCTTCTGAATGCCCATGGTTATCACCATTCCGACCTACAACCTCGTTTGGTTTGGCTTACATTTCCACTTGTTTTGCCTCCCCTTTTACTTCCACATTCTTTCTTTGGTTATTCATTTGCTTTTGGAGTAGCCAAAAATATGTATCAATATGATTTTATTTTTATACAGGATGCAAAACAAAACTCTTGCTTTTGTCGGAGATTCATTGGGCAGGCAGCAGTTCCAATCTTTAATGTGCATGATCACTGGCGGTAAGGAGAGGGATGATATCGTCGATGTTGGTGAGGAGTATGGAATTGCTCAAGCCCATGGTAATGCCCGCACTCAGGGGCTTGCATTACGGTTTTCTAGCACCAATACCACCATAATCTACTACTGGTCAGCAAGCCTCTGCTACATAGAGCCTATGAACAAGACAAATCAAGACACAGATTATGCGATGCACCTTGATCGACCTGATGCATTCTTAAGCCAAAATATCCACAAAATTAATGTCTTGGTTCTGAACACCGCACACCATTGGAATCGCGGAAAACTTAAAGCGAACCGTTGGATAATGCATGTCGGTGGTGCACTAAACACGGACAAGAATTTACAAGAAATTTGGAAGGCTAGAAACCTGACAGTTCACACTGTCATCAATTGGGCGAACTCACAGTTTCCAAAGTATCCAGACTTGAAAGTCTTTTACCGTAGCATCTCACCTAGGCATTTTGTTGGTGGCGAGTGGAACACAGGGGGTAGTTGTGACAATACCACTCCGATGTCAATAGGCAAGGAAGTTGTAGAAGACGAGTCTAGTGATCCTGTCGCCGCTTCCGCAGTCAAGGGAACAAGGGTAAAGCTCTTGGACATAACGGGTCTCTCCAAGCTTAGGGACGAGGCTCATATATCCCGATTTCGAGGACCACCCAACTCCACGGCATCGGATTGTCTGCATTGGTGTCTACCAGGTGTTCCA